CATCGTCCTGGGCACCCCCATGAAGTGCTTCCAGGTGAATTGTCCTTGTGCCATGATACCAGTGTGGCGAGCCCTGCAGTTGTCTATTTGAATAGTTTCCTTCTTGGCAAGACAACTTCACTAGTTTTTTTTTTTTTTTTTTTTTTTTTTTTAAAGAGAGAGTGAGAGAAGAGAGAGAATTTTAATATTTATTTTTTAGTTATCGGCGGACACAACTTCTTTGTATGTGGTGCTGAGGATCGAACCCGGGCCGCACGCATGCCAGGCGAGCGCGCTACCACTTGAGCCACATCCCCAGCCCTTCACTAGTTTTTTTAATAGTGTATCTCTAATATCAAGTTGGCCCATAAATTGTTTGGGTAATGTTTACTTTTTGCTGGAAAGTATGGATTGTTAGAAAGATTCCAGCCCAGGATGCCTATTCCTGCCCCTTGTGGGAGTTAGAATATGGCAGAAGAGGCACAAACTGCAGTATCCATGACAGGCTTTGCGTCGTGGGCGATGCATTTGTATTGTTCATCTCACAGGATGAGCTCAATCAACCCTTTGTTTTTCTCTTTCAATACTGAGGATTGAACCCAGGGTGCTCTGTCACTGAGCTACACTCCAGCCCTTATTTTCTATTTTGAGACAAGGTTTTGCTAAGATGCCAGAAGCCCTTGAACTTGGGATCGTCCTGCCAGCCTGTTGCAAATGCTCAGCAGATGTTTGTTGAATGAATATATTAGTTGAATGTCCTATAATCACATAATATCACAGGTGGGTTCCCAAGACTTAATTTCCCATTTATGTAAAGGGAGACATTTATTTTGCTTTAAAATGAGACAGGTCAAGCTGGGCGTGGTGGTGCATGCTTGTAATCCTAGTGGCTTGGGAGGCTAAGGCGGGAGGGTCACGAGTTCAAAGCCGGCCTCAGCAACTTATTGAGGCCCTAAGAAACTTAATGAGACCCTTTCTATAAATAAAATATAAAAAAACATGTTGGGGGTGTGCCTCAGTGGTTGAGTGCCCCTGAGTTCAATCCTCAGTACAARAAAAAAAAAAGATGACATAATAAGTATGGAGACATGCCATGTTGATGGATTTAAAAGAACCAGCCAGTGAAGATTCCGGTTCTCCCCATATTGACCCATGGGTTTAAAACAGGTGTAATCAAATTCCGAACAAGACCAGGCGGGAGRCACACACCTGTAATCCTAGTGGYGCAGGAGGATCAAAGGTTCAAACCCAGCCTCAGCGAAAACTCAGTGAGACCCTGTCYCTAAATAATATTCAAAATAGGGCTGGGGATGTGGCTCAGTGGTCCAGTGCCCCTGAGTTCATTCCCCAGTAACCCAAAAAATAAAAAATTCCTAACAAGATTTTTAAAATAAAATTTATATGGAAAGGCAAAGGACTAGAACAACTAAAAGAATAAAGTTAGGGCTGGGGATGTGGCTCAGTGGTCCAGTGCCCCTGAGTTCATTCCCCAGTAACCCAAAAAATAAAAAATTCCTAACAAGATTTTTAAAATAAAATTTATATGGAAAGGCAAAGGACTAGAACAACTAAAAGAATAAAGTTAGGGCTGGGGTTGTGGCTCAGCAGTAGAGCACTTGCCTGGTATGTACAATCCTCAGCACCACATTAAAAATAAAAATAAAGATGTTGTGTCTACCGAAAACTAAAAAAATAAATATTAAAAAATTCTCTCTCTCTCTCTCTCTTAAAAAAATGAAATAAATAAATAAATAAACAAAATAAAGGTATTGTGTCCAACTACGTCTAAAAAAATAAATGTTTTTTTTTAAAGGATARAATTAGAAGAATCACATCGTGTTATTTTAAGACTTAACTATAAAGCCACAGTAATAAAGCTGAGGTAATAAACTGTGATATTGGCAGAGAGACACACAGATCAGTAAAATAGTGGAGTCTGGAAATAGACCCATACAATGTGGCCAGTCAACTTTGACAGACATACAAAGATAATTCAGTGGAGGAAGGCTAATCTTTTCAACAGATGGTGTTGGGACAATTGGATATCATGTGCAGGAAAAAAATGGACCTCAAGCTCCTAGTTTCTACACAAATTAATTCAAAATAGATCACAGATCTGTAAGATATAAAACTAAAAACTTTCAGAAGAAAACAGAAGATCTTTTTGACCCCAGCCTGAGCAAAAAGTTCTTAGGACTCCAGAAGTGTGAACCATGAAAGGAAAAAAATTGGTGAGATGGATACCATCAAACTAAAGCCTGCTCTGCAGAAGACACGGCTGAGGGAGTGGAGTGAACGGCTGCGGACTGGGAATTTATTTATTTATGTATTTATTTATTTTTGGTCCCAGGGATTGAACTCAGGGGCACTCARTCACTGAGCCACATCCTCAGCCCTATTTTGTATTTTACTTAGAGACTGAATCTCACTGARTTGCTTAGCACCTTGCTATTGCTGAGGCTGTAAGAACTCAAAAAACTCAATAGTTAAGGAAACTCCATTAAAAGGGGGCTTAAGACTCAGATGCTTGAGCAGAGAGACAGGTGGCAAATAAGCACATGAAACTCAACATCATTGACCTTGAGGGAAGTTTGAATTAAAGCAGGAGGAGTGCCTGCAGCCTCCTGGAAGTCCAAAACAACAAATGAAACCACACAGCCGGGAGGGGGAAGTGCAGCCAGTACAGCCACCTGGAGGACCGCCTGGCAGAGTCTGATAAACACACATTCACCGTAGGACCCAGCAGTCCCACCCTGGGTATTTACCCCAGAGAACCAAAGTGAATGTTTATAGCAGCACTGTTAATGATCACTAAACYCTGGAATCAGCCCTGTGCCCTCTGGTGGATGAGTAAGTAAACATCCGCTGCTCAGAGAATGGTCTGCAGCATGAGGAGCAGCTGTGGGTGTGCACAGGAGCACACAGAGGGGTCTCGGGCATGGTGTGGATGAAAGAAGCCAGCCTCAAAGGGCACTGAGATGCACGCCCATAATCCCAGCCACCCAGGAGGCTGAGGCAGGAGGATGGAGGATGGCAAGTTCAAGGCCAGCCTTGGCAGCTTAGTGAGACCTTATCTCAAAATAAAAAGAAAGGTGGGGCCCTCCTCTGGGAATGTAGCTCAGTGGTAGTGAAATATTGTCTCAAAAAATAAAAAGGAAGAGGGCCTGGGAGGTGGCTCAGTGATAGAGCATCCCTGGTATCAATCCCTAGTACAGAAGGGAGCGTGAATGTACACTGCATGATTTCACTTACACGCTTTATTTTGTTTTGTTTTTTCCTTGTACTGGGGACACACATAATAGACAGGTATTCTACCGCTACTTCAACCCTTTTTTATTTTTTTGAGACRGGGGTCTCACTGTTGCACCAGCTGGCCTTGAACTTGGGATCTTCCTGCCTTAGCCTGCCAAGTTGCGGGAATTGGGCATGCACCACTGTGCCCAGCTGTTGCAGTGATCTCTCCATGTGTTAACAGGACTCTTAAAGTGAATTTTACTACATGTTAATTTAAGAATAAAATAGATTCCCACACCCTGCCAAAATTGCTCCTGTGTACTAAATATAGAACTGAAACACTGAAATAGATAAATGTAACATAAAAGTATTTAAAATGGGGGGGAAAGGTAATAAAGCAATTCCCTCTAAGTATGTAAATAAACAAAAGATGAAAATAGTCACAAAAATTAGACATAGAGCCTGCTGTGGTGGCACATGCCTTTAATATCAGCTATTCAGGAGGCCGAGACAGGAGGATTGCAAGTTGAGACCAGTTTGGGCAATGTAGTGAGACCCTTAGCAAACTAGCAAGACTCTTGTCTCAAACAATAAAAAGGGCTACAGCTGTGGCCGGGTGGCAGAGGCCCTGTTCAGTTTGCTCTAGTTCAACACAGTGGCAGGACCTGTGTGAACCAGGGGTGGTGCTCAGGTGACAGGCCAGGCAAGAAGCAGGAATCACACCTGGGCCGTGTTTTGGGTTGTCTCTGGGCTTATCAAGATACAGCTACTCAGAGCGCACCCCATAGAGATATAGGAAGTTCATCACAGATCAGGGCCTGGACACCTGGGTGAGCATGCATGTGTCAGCCACAGTGACGGTGTGTGGAGTAGGGTGGGAGTCAGATGCAGACAGGCGGAGGGTGGAATGGCGTGTAGAATGAGTTCCCCAGAGCAAGGCTCCTGAGCCAGAGTCCAGAGGACGTGGAGGATTGCTGGGGTGCTCTGCATGGAGGGAGAAGGGTGTGTGCAGGGCTGCGGGCTGTAGGTGTTGGCCCAGGAGGACAAGCTGGAGGGGCAGAGGGGAGGATGCCAGCAGCAGAGGCCCCAGTGTCAGAGGGTCTGCGGCCAGCTTGTGAGTGGGAGTTTCTCAAGTTCAGGCCCCAGTGAGAGTCCCGTGTGGGGAGCTGTTTACCAGGCAGATGTCCAGGGCTGTGCCCAGGTTGGACATTGAGACCTGCGGGTGTAGCTGGTGCCAGGGGACTCCTGTGCACGCAGTCAGAAGCTCTGCAGGGAGGARTGGGGCTGTGGGGAGCTTCGYGCGGGGCGTTTGCTGCACAGCTCTCTGGTGGAGACCTCCCGAGCCTTGTGCTTGGGAATGCCTCTGTCTTGGGGAACCAGTTTGCGGACTAGCAAAGCCCCCTCAAGTGTCTGTTCACAGAAGCATCACTGTTCTCCGGAAAGAAGTGGAGCCCTCTGTGAGTATTGCAGGGGGTGGGGTCCAGGCTCTGCTGGGCCTGCTAGGATTTTGTTGGGAAAGAAGGTAAAGGGAAGCAGGTGGTGCACACCTGTGATCCCAGCCGCTTGGGAGGCTGAGCGGGGAGGATTGCAAGTTCAAAGCCAACCTCAGCAACTTAGGGAGACCTTGTCTAAAAATAAAAACTAAAAAAGGCTGGAGGTGTGGCTGAGTGGTTGAACGCCCCCAGGTTCAATCTTTGGTACCCCCCCCCAAAAAAAAAAAAAAAAGAAAGTGAGATGGGGTCTGCCCTGGGAAGGTGACTTCATGGCTTCCTGGCCCCCTTTTCTAGGAGCAGCAACCGAGTTGGACAGACGACCTGCCACTCTGCCACCTCTCTGGAGTGGGATCAGCCTCCAACCGCATCTACTCTGCTGATGGCAAGGGCACTGAGAGCCACCCTCCGGAGGACAGCTGGCTCAAGTTCAGGTGTGCATGCTGGCCTTGCTTTTGGCAGAGAGTTGGTTTGTAAGCAAGAAAAGGTGCCAGTCTTGCCACTGTCTCGTGGGATTTGCCGATGAGATGTGGCCTACAGGAGTGGCCTCTGTTGTGGTCCCTTCGTGTGTAATTCAAGGCCTGATACAGCTGGGGGAAGGCATCCCAAGAGAGCACAGCCACAGTGACATGATAGCCAAAGTGGGGGGACCCCGGTGGGTACTTGAAGCTGCAGCTGATCTACCTTGGTCTCCCCAGTTCCTTTCCCTCTCCCCCGCTGCCTGTGACGCCCTGGTCTCAGGCCTTCTGTGCCTTGCCTCCGCCAGGAGTGAGAACAACTGCTTCCTCTATGGGGTCTTCAATGGCTACGATGGCAACCGGGTGACCAACTTTGTTGCCCAGCGGCTGTCCGCAGAGCTCCTGCTCGGCCAGCTCAACGCCGAGCACACCGAGGCTGACGTGCGGCGGGTGCTGCTGCAGGTACGGGGTACAGGCTGCTGTGGTACCCTCGCCTACTGTGTGTCCTCCCCGTCCCCCAGAACTCGGGTTCCGCAACTGTGAAATGTGACAGGATTGTTCTGAAGACTCCAGGCTTCTTCATCCCACCCAGGGTCAGCCCTGGAAGCCCTTCCCAGCGGCAGGGACTCGCTGCTCCCAGGGAGTGTAGGGCCAGGCAGGGAGGAGCCATCCCTCCTGTGACTGGCCGGCCGAGGAGGCAACTCGGCTGGAGAAGGGGAGCCAGGGTTGTGGGCTCKGGCTGAAGTGTGGGTGGGTGCGGCCAGGCCTGGTAGGTGCTTTAGAGCGACTCTTTCCTTGATGTGGTCAGGTGCTTGCCTCTGACTGCGGAGAGTCCTGGGTGGGTGTGCAGGGGCCTGGCCTCCCCACGCTTGCTGGGASTCTGCCTTTCTTTTTTCTTTTAATGTATTTTTAGTTGTATTTTATGTATTTATTTTTATGTGGTGCTAAGGCCAGAGCAGCAGGAGTTAAGGGAACAGGGGAGGCTGGTGGGTCCCAGCCCCCGGGGGGAGTCTGCCTTTCTGCTGCTGCTGTGTGGGGAGCCCTCCTGGGGGCTCCTTTCAAAGCCTAGCTGGAGGCCTTTGCCTGAGGTGAGGCTGTCCTCCTGATCCAGGAGAGCAGCCCAGCCTTCTCCTGTCCTCCTGGGCCCTAGGGCTTCTGGGCCAGTGGTTCTCAGCAGGCCCCACACCCCAGGGAAGTTGTCAGTGTCACCAGTGTTCAGGGAGCAGGAGGATTTGCAGRAGCCCTGGGAAAGGCACCCTGCTCCTGCAGAGGTTGTGCCCAGCCCTCCTCTGGGCCGGGGATGTGCYGAAGGCTGGGGAAGCTCATCTCACTTCAGAACCTTGTGGTCCCATTCTGCAGCTGAGGAGCCCAAGGTGGCGGAGCTGGAGTTCACACCCCGCCAGTCTGATTCTAGGTCTGTGYTCTGGTCCTGCCTGAGCCTGTCTTGCTGTCCCTTCTACAATGGCTCCCGTGCAGTGTGCCTGTCCCTTGGGCCTAAGTTCTTTGTCAGAGGTGATTTGCAGGAAGCATTGGGTGCCTTGCAGTTTGTGAGACAGGACTGCTGTGTGCAAAGCCTCTGTCACATGACAACGGTGTCATCAGTAGGGACATTTTTGGCGTCAGGTGCAGTGGTGTGTGAGCCAGGCTCTGCCCCCTCTCTGTCCCCACAGGCCTTTGATGTGGTGGAGAGGAGCTTCCTGGAGTCTATCGACGACACCCTGGCTGAGAAGGCCAGCCTCCAGTCCCAGCTGCCAGAGGTACTCTTTCCACGCACCCGGGGAGGTCGGGGCCAGACACCTCCACTGTGTCGCTCGCATGCTGGGCCCGAGCAGCAGGAGCTAAGGGAGCAGATCCTGATGGAGAGGCTGGGGGTGCCAGGGGTTGTCCTCAAGGGGCCTCCTTTGCCTGACGTGGGCAGTGAAGGGCAGGAGGAGAGGCCTTTCCAGGGCCCAAGGCCTAAATCAGTCCTCAGCCTCATCACTTATCCCTCTTGTCACCCACCAGCACCTTTGGGGCCACCACTGAGCTGGGTCACTGCCACTCCCTGGGGTTCAGCCCAGGCCTCCCTCCTGGTGGTGCCACAGACCATCTGTCCTCCGGGGCTCACATCCTTGCTCCTGAGGGTAGGAGGGCGTTGGTCAGCTGGCCCTCGAGGCCCAGCCCTGCCCTGACCCTCTGGTGGTGGGTTGCAGGGCGTCCCTCAGCACCAGTTGCCTCCTCAGTATCAGAAGATCCTTGAGAGGCTCAAGACGCTGGAGAGGGAGATTTCAGGAGGAGCCATGGCCGTGGTGGCCGTCCTTCTCAACAACAAACTCTACGTCGCCAATGTAGGTGAGCTGCTCACCCATCCAGGCGCGGGGAGGAAGTTTTGGCTTCAGGGTCCACACACGTGGATGCTTTGGACGTAGAGTGTCTCAAGGCCATCCTCTGTTTCCTCCTTACTGCCACCGTGTGTCGTGTCCCAGCTAGAGGTGGGCAGATGCAGGCATGAGATGCCAGCTGTGGGCAGTGAAGGGCAGGAGGAAAGGCCGTTCCAGGGCCCGAGGCCTAAATCCCTCCAGGTTGGGGGTTCCTCTCCTCCTCCGCTAAGTCTCTGGTCACTGTTCAAATTCTACTGCAGGTACGAACCGGGCACTTCTATGCAAATCTACGGTGGACGGGTTGCAGGTGACCCAACTAAACGTGGACCACACCACAGAGAATGAGGATGAGCTCTTCCGCCTCTCACAGCTGGGTGAGAGGGGGCGCCAGGCTGAGGGATAAATGGGAAAGGAGACTGGCTCTGGGACTCCCCTGTCCTCCTTTGGTGGCAGGCAGACAGGTGCATAGTGGAAGAGCCACGAGACCCTGTGACCAGCCTGCCTGGGGCTTTGTTCAGCTCTGCTGCTTACTAAGTGGTGACTTGGGGACATATTTAAGCTTTCTCTGCCTCAGATTCCTCATCTTTGTAATGAGAATGGTAGTAACACCTACCCCAGGGTGTTGTGAGGGTTAAAAGAGTTAATAATACATGAAARTGCTCCCTAAAGTACCTGGCACACAGTAGTACTCACTGTTATTGACAGAAACTGAGAAAAGCCAAGGAACCCTGAGATTCCAGCCACTGCGTAACTTTCCTTCTTTCCCTGAGCTCCTGGCAGATGTGACAGACRTGGAGGCTGAGGGCAGCTTGCTGCTCCCAAGGCAGACAGGGCCGTGGTAGGTGGGGCCGCAGTGTGTGGAGGAGGGCCTGGGCATTCTCGTGGGAGTGAGGCTGAGGACWGCAAGGGACCTTAGGTTGCTCTCCAGTGCCCTGATGTCTTCACTTCCTTCTTGGTGGGTCCTCACTCCTCGTCTTGGTGGATCTGCCTCTGTCCCCTTTTCTTGGTTTTTCATGTGCACTGTTCTCCCTCTGGTAGGTTTGGACGCAGGAAAGATCAAGCAAGTGGGGATCATCTGTGGGCAGGAGAGTACCAGGCGCATTGGGGATTATAAAGTCAAGTACGGCTATACTGACATTGACCTGCTCAGGTAGGTGGCCAGCCCAGCTGCCCCCAGTTCTTTGTCAGACTTGAGGGTCTGGGGCAGAAGCACATTTCAGGCTGCAGGGGTGGGTACAGTTGAACTAGTTCAGAGCACAAGGGTATTCTTTCTTCCTCCCAGAGAGGTTGGTGTAGGGTGGGACCCGAGCTCAGCAGAGTTGGGGGTCTGTGAAGCCAGACTGGCAAGGTGTCATAGTAGGGCGCTGGGCCAAAGCCCAAGGCAGCAGTAGTGCCCCAGAGCCTGGGGCATGAAGCACCTGGCGTGGATGTACCTGGCATGAGGTACCTGGCATGGATAGAGATGGATGGCTGATGGATGCTGCCTGTGACAGGCCAGGCCAGAGTTGAGATTAGTTGTCCATTTCCCTCCAGGGACAGTTCCCTTCTGGGTGTCACCCAGGTCCTCATGGCAACAAATTAGCAGTAGTAGGGATGGCGAGCCCTTGAGTCCACCCTGCACAGCTCCTCAGACATGGATCCCCCACTCAGCAGTGACGTGCATGCTGTCACCACCCCATAGGCATGTTCCTAGGARGAAACTGAGGTGGCCACCAGTCTCAGGGCTAGGGATGGTTGCGGCAGGCCTGGATCCCAGGCAGTCTGAACTTGGAGCATGTGTCCTCACCTGCCGGCTGACCTTCAYGGGAAACAGGCTGGGCAGACACGCCTGTGCACTTGTAGGGCACCAGTCACAGCCAGGGCTGCAGGGATCCTGCCAGAGACCCCAGCTGCAGGCAGGCCTCGTGGCTTAGTTTCAACTCCTTGTCCATCTAAGGTTTAGGAAAGCAAGTTTAGAACCTTTGTTCCTAGTTTGTGGGGTTCTCTTTGCTTTATTTGAAAGTTAGGTCTCTGGTGGGCTGGGGATGTAGGTCAGTCGGTAGAGTGCTTACCTCACATGCACAAAGCCCTGGGTTCAACCCCCAGCACCRTGGAAAAAAAGAAAAAAATTAGGTCTGTGGTACCTGGGTGTGGTGGCCCCCTGCTACTTGGGATGCTGAGGCAGAAGGATTGCAAGTTCCGGGTCAGGCTCAGAAACTTAGCAAAGCTGGGCATAGTGTCACATGCCAGCCACCCAGAAGGCTAAAACAAGAGGATTGTGAGTTCAAAGCTAGCCTCAGCAATAGCGAGGCACTAAGCAACTCAGTGAGACCCTGTCTCTAAATAAAATACAAAAAAGGGCTGGGGATGTAGCTCAGAGGTTGAGTGCCCCTGAGTTCAATCCTTGGTACCCCCCCAAAAAACAAAACAAAACAAAAAAAACCTGTCTCAAAATCCCAGTACCACAGGGCTGGGGTTGTGGCTCAKTGGAGATCACTTGCCTAGCACATGTGAGGCACTGGGTTCAATCCTTAGCACCACATAAAAGTAAATAAAGTAAAGGTATAGTGTCCATGTGCAACTAAAAAAATATATACTAAAAAAAAAAAAAATCCTGTGCTGGAATTGTGGCCCAGAGGTAGACCGCTCGCCTAGCATGTGTGAGGTACTAGGTTCCATCCTCAGCAACACATTAAAATAAAATAAAGATATTATGTCCACTTATAGCTAAAAAATAAATATTAAAAAAAACCCAACCCAGTACTACAAAAAGAAGGAAAGTAGGTCTGGTTAAAGTGCTTTGAACAGGCCTTAGGATGTGTGTGGTGAAAGCCAGCCAGGACCCCCACCCAGAGCCTTCTAGTTTCTCGTGAGTCCTGCCCACAGATGTCTGTGCACGTGTGCATACATGTGCCTTTGCATAAGTTTGTGTTTTGTGGCAACTGAGAAGCAGGCTGCCACAAGTTTGGACACACCTTTCTGGCTTTCTGATCTCACCCTTTATTGAGGTCCGGTTGACACACAAAAGCTGTGTATATTTAATATATGCAGCTCGGTGAGGTTAGAGCTGAGTTTACACCGACCCCCTGTTTTCACAAAGAATGTGCATCCCTCCTCCCCTCACACCTGCAGTGGAGGTTGCTGGGATTCCCATAGGATTCCTTACCTGAGTAGCCCCCAACTGACCAACCCTCAGGATACACTAGACTTCTCTCTTCCAAGTATTGTTACCAGGCACATCCTCATGTGCACGTGCGCATGTGCGTGTGCGCATGTGCACACACACACTGGAGGTTTTTTTTTTTACATCTAATGACCCGCACATCAGAAATGGTCCCCAAGCCCTTAGTCAGCATGGGAATCTGTTTTGGTGGAGCCCCAGTAACAGCAAGAGGCGCAAGCTTTAAGAGACAGCCATTCCTAGCCAGCACGGTGGTGGCTCAGGAGACTGAGACATGAGGATCACAAGTTCAAAGCCAGTCTCAGCAACTTAGCAAGGCCCTAAGCAATTTAGTGAAACTATCTCAAAAGGACGGGGATGTGGCTCGTGGTTAAGTGCCCATGGGGTCAATCACTGGTATAAAAGAGAACGCACAAGTGTGCACATGCTACCTCTTGCTGCTCTGCCCTGCAGCCTGCCAGGGCTGAGCTCTTGGGGGTAGGAGGATGGAGCAGGGCCAGAAGCCAGCACTGGGCCTTTGCTGTCTTGACCCCACAGCCTGCCAGTTTTTCTTGCCCTCTGAGCTTTATTCTAGCAGCTGACTTTCTCTTGCCTCTCTTTCTTTCTCTCTCACCAACTCATGCATTTTATTTTACACTCTGGGTGTAGATTCTTCCCCTCAGCAGACTCAACGTTCACCTGGAGACCTTTCCACACAAAGTCCTCCCTCCACTCTCTCTCCATAGTGCTGCCAAGTCCAAACCCATCATCGCAGAGCCAGAAATCCATGGAGCACAGCCTCTGGATGGGGTGACCGGCTTCCTGGTCCTGATGTCTGAGGGGCTGTACAAGGCCCTGGAGGCCGCCCACGGGCCTGGCCAAGCCAACCAGGTGAGCTGGTCGGGACAGAGCTGGCAACCACGGGGCATGACTGGCTGGCCTGCAGGATAGGTGCTCTCCTGGCAGCCCAGAGCACTGATCCCCAGATGCCATCACCAGACACCTTTTCTGAGTGCAGAGCTGAGGGAAGGGACAGCCCAGAGCTTAGGCTGGGGATGTGGTAGAGCACTTGCCTAGCACGCATGGGGCCCTGGGTTCCGTCMTCAGCACCACCAAAAAGAAAAGCCCATAGCCCTGAAAACACCTGTCCCTCCCAAAGCTCTGTTCCTGGGTGAGCAGCAGTATCAGCGCCCAGGGCCCTCAGGCCCRAGGGCAGAGGGCAAGAGGGCAGTGAGTTCCTCCTGGCAGCCTTGTTCTGGGGTGCTGGACAGAGGCCTGGACCCAGGGGGGCAGTGGGTCAGGCTTGTTCCCCTTTCCAGGAGGGGTTCTCTGGGGCTTCTGGTCAGAACACCAGAGTGTCCTCCCTCCTGTAGTGGATGGGGAGGGTGCCATCTCCCTTGGAGGGACCGTGGTGAGGTCAGGCGTGGGAACATGGAGTGGCTTATTTCTGCACCGTGGCAGGAAGTGGGACTTGCGGGCAGGTGTTCAGGAGGAGGCCGCCCTCGCCTAGCCTTGGGTTGTGTTCCGTGTCTTCCTCCATCAGCAGTGGGTGTGATGGGGGCTCACCTTTTCTGCCTCATCCTTCTTCACTAAAAGGAAGAAGTCTTAAGTGCCTGACTATCCCTGATCCCTGTGCTCAAGGCTTTCCCACCATTTTATCTTATTATTCATTCCAGCAGCCTCCTAACAAGAGGGGCCCTGGCTTACTTAGTTCTAGTTCAGGATCTTGCCTGAGGTGAAACGCTGATGGCGGTGGAGCTGGGTTCCTCAGGTCCAGGTCCAGGTCCAGGTCAAGGTCATTGCCCTTAATTGCCCTCCCTTCCTGCCTCCAAGAAGCTGGAGCCAAAGACTGGGTGCAGTAGTGATGCCTATTATCCAGCTACTCAGGAGGCTGAGGCAGGAGGATTACACTTCAAGACCAGCCTCAGCAACTTTGTGAGACCCTGTTTCAAAAAATAATAATGACTGTGTACAGAGCTCTGTGATAGAGCACCCTTGGCCCAGTAATGGGGGAGCAGGCTGTAGCCAGCCCTCATGTAGAGGATTTTGTGCTTCTAATTTTTTATTTTTTTGGTACTGGGGCCTGAATCAGTACTAGCTCTACCACTGAGCCATATCCTCAGCCCTTTTTATTGTTTATTTTGAGGGCCTTACTAAAACTGGCCTTGAATTTACAACTCTCCTGCCTCAGCCTCCTGAGTAAAATAGGATTAGATCCATTTTTGATGTTTTCATCAGTGTGGTTTTCTTTTTCTTTCTTTTTTTTTTTTTTTTTTTGTCTAATCATTAGAATTTTCCAGTGGCTTCTATGGGGTTCTAGATTATGCTGGACAGGGGATTTATCTGAAGGCAAGAACAGTGTCTTTGTTCCACATCCCTAAAATGCCTGATCTGGTGCATCATAGCCTACATGAAGTCTTTCCAGAAGGAAGTCCTTACTGATGTGCATCTACACTGGGCCCTGTGGTAGTGTGCAGAGTGCTGTCACGTCCGTGTTATATAACCCTCATAATGACCAGCAAGGTGCATATTACCCATTTAAACAATCAGAGAGGTCACAAGGTCACACCCTTTTGCTAATGAGAAAGTTCTTAATACTCTTAATACTCTGGTTTCTCTTTGGATCATATAAATCTTTTGCCTTTTGCTAATGAGAAAGTTCCAGAAGGATTATCCTGAATGCCTTGACAAGCTCAGATTATAGGCTTGGCTAACGGGGTACTTCCTTCACCTGTGGTCTGGTAAAACCTAAGTCTCTCAAAGAAGGCTCTGGAGTGACCACCCCCAGTCCCTTGTCCACCCCTCATTCCTCACCAGGTTCATTGCCCTGTCCCCAGGAGATTGCTGCAATGATTGACACTGAGTTCGCCAAGCAGACCTCCCTGGATGCAGTGGCCCAGGCTGTGGTGGACCGGGTGAAGCGCATCCATGGTGACACCTTCGCCAGTGGTGGGGAGCGTGCCAAGTTCTGCCCACGACACGAGGACATGACCCTGCTGGTGAGGAACTTTGGCTACCCGCTGGGTGAAATGAGCCAGCCCACACCAACCCAGGCCCCAGGTATGTGTACCTTATAGAGAGGCTGTAGGTGGGTGCAGAGCCGCTGAGCCTTGGACTCGCACCTGGAGTGCAGGTGGAGCTAGGAGGTTTGGGTTGCAGTTCTAACCCAGGCCCCTGACCTCCAGCCTCTGAGCTGCCCCTTGTTGTTTTGTTTTGTTTTATTTATTTATTTTTTATTTATTTGTATGTGGTGCTGAGAATCAAACCCAGTGCCTCACACATGTTAGGCAAGCGCGTTACCACTGAGCCACAACCCCAGCCCCCTCAGCTATTTTTTATATTTTATTAAAGGCAGGATCTCACTGAGTTGATCAGGGTCTTGCTGCTAAGGCCGGCTTTGAACTCATAATCCTCCTACCTCAGCCTCCCAAGCTGCTGGGATTATAGGCAGGCGTGCGCCATTACACCTGGTTGCCCCTTTATTCCTTCTGTCTGTGAAATGAGGGTAGCACCACCTGCCCTGTCCTCCTGCAGACCTAAGGGRTGAACAGGTGGTATGCAGGGTCACAGAGGCACATGAAGGTGATAGCACCCCTGGCTGAGGGCCCGTGAGGCCAGATCCTGACCTGCATTGCTTGCTGTAGTCCTTGTGAGCAAGTGTAAGGACAGGAAGAGGAAACAGTTTCAGAGCAAAGGGACCTAGGTAAGATTAGGTACTGGACAGATGGTCAGGCTGCAGCATCTGGCTCTGTCTCTGGCCTCATTGGACAGGGAAGACTGTTACTTTCTTCCTTTTTCCTTTTAATTCTTAAATCATAAGCGCAGAAATGGTCGTGCCTTGGGGTGTCCCTCCCAAGGCATCACTGGGCTCCTCAGGGCTGACCTCCTTTTCTTTTTTAAACAAGGAAACCTTGGAGCCCAGGCATCCCTGATGCTTTGTGCCCCTGGGCTTGCTGGAGTTTCTCAGGCTCACTGTTCCTGCAGCCATGTTTGTATTGGGTCAAGATCCGCTAGGAGCAGACTGTCCTTGGATCATCCACGGGAAGCCGGGCTCTTGATTCCATTGAGCATCAGTGGCTTCCCTGGTGGAGGGAGGTCCCAGCCTCTCTGGAAGAATCTCTGCCAAGGGACACTCCTGGGCTGCCCCAAGGGGCAAGGGCTGTGCCAGGGCTTGAAGGGTTTCAGCCCCCAGGTGCCTGTCAGGCCTCAGAGTAGCCCTAACCCTCCTCCTGATCTGGTGCCCAATGCTCTCTCCCCCTACAGCTGCAGGGGGCCGCGTGTACCCCGTGTCCGTGCCCTACTCGAGTGCCCAGAGCACCAGCAAGACTAGCGTGACCCTCTCCCTCGTCATGCCCTCCCAGGGCCAGATGGTCAATGGGGCCCACAGTGCTTCCACCCTGGACGAAGCCACTCCCACGCTCACCAAGTAAGCCCTGGGGCCCTGCTGAGGGAGATCTCCTTAGAGCCCAGGGCAGGAAGAGGTGGCACTGTTGGTCCAGCAGCTGGATAAAGCTGGACCTGCTGAAGGTGCCAGCCCGCTGTTCTGCCTGCTGGGGCCTGTGTTCTGGCTTTTGTTCACGGGGACATGCTCTCATTCTTCTCCCTGTGGCGTAGGTGGCTCCCTGTGGCCTGGCCTGGCACAGCTGCTGCTCTCAACTGTGATGCCCAGAGTCCAGCTTCTGAGGGGGCTGACTAGATTAAGAGGGGTGCGTGGAGGCCGCAGCCTGGGTGGGATGCAGGGGGCACCTCCGTGCAGAGCTGCCTGGCAGGCCTGGTGTCCACCACCCCCACCCCCACCCCCCACCCCAGGAAGCCCGAGACAGATCTGGTTTCCACATTCCAGCACAGAATAATAGAGATGCCACACCCAGCCCATCCCAGGGTGGCTGACAGGATGTGGCCAATTACAAGTGGCTGAAAGGAGGGAGTGGCCTGTTTTCCTCCACTCTGCAGGGGTCCTTCCTTCCCCTGCCTCCCCCCCCCTGCTGTCCTTGCTGTCCTTGCTGTGGCGGGTGGGAGCCTGCCCAGCAGCCAAGCTCCACCTCCAGCACAGGGTCGGGGTGGCCGATCCTTCACCCCTGTGGGGCTGCCCCAGGAAACCACCAGCTGTGTCCACAAGGCAGAGCCTGATGGCCRTGGACTGTCTCCGGTAAGACAGGACACTCAGCATCCTCTGCCTCTGGCCTCCTGGGCTGTGCGGCCTCGTCCCTCCCCAGCTCCGAGAGGGCTGACCCTGTGCCTGAGCTGGGTGTCCTGGGCATTGACAGGTCAGCGGCTAACAGATAGTTCTGTGACAGAAGGTGGGTGTCCAAGGCCTTGGCACCTGTCCCTGTGTGGCCAGGGAGGGAGCAGGGGGAGGGGAGRGGAGGCAGGTGTCTGGAAGGGACTGGCTGCCTGTACTCAGTGGGCTGAGGGTGGGGTGGGGTGGGGTGGAGGCGTGGCCAGGCAGACTGGGAGGCTGGCAGGGGTGGGTCTGCCTGTCCCACAGGAGCCACTCACCAGGAGTGGCTGATTTAAACAGCCACATGCGGCCAGTCCTTAAGAAACGTGTCTGACATTTTATCTGTCCTTCTGTGGCCACCTTTGCCAGAGATTCCTGTGGCCCAAGGGCCTGATGAGTCAGGGAATTCTCTGTCCCCAGGCCAGGGACCAAGACCCCCTTGACCCAGCCATCCCAGAGTGGTTCTCCCCTCTTGTCCCTGCAGCCAGAGCCCTACGCTGACCCTGCAGTCCACCAACACCCACACCCAGAGCAGCAGCTCCAGCTCCGACGGCGGCCTCTTCCGCTCCCGGCCCGCCCACTCTCTCCCRCCTGGCGAGGACGGCCGCGTGGAGCCCTACGTGGACTTTGCTGAATTTTATCGCCTTTGGAGCGTGGACCATGGCGAGCAGAGCGTGATGACGGCRCCGTAGCCTGGCCAGCGAGTACAGCCCAGTGGACCTCAAGTGAGGGCRGGAGCCAGCCCTGGTTCAGCCTTTCCTGACTGCCTGTGCCCAGGAGCAGGGGCACCCCCGTCCTCGGCCTGCACCAGCCTCTGCCCCGTGGCTCTTGGGCTGTAGAGCTGCGGGTGCAGACTGTGCTGCTTGTCCATGCCTTGTCACCTCGCGGGAGGCTGGAGGCCACTCTGCCACAGCCTCAGCCAGGACATTGCTGTTCCTCAGAGCAAGGGCCCAAGTGTGGAAGCTGTAGCTGGCCTGCAGGCCACCGGGGATTCCTTCAGCCCTGCAGCAGCGTGGGAAGAGGCTGTCCTGTGGGCCCCGAGTGCCACCATCTCCTGTAAAATAACCTGGGCCACTGCTAGCGCCCCTCCACTCCCAGGAAGTGGTTTCCCCTCTCCAGCTTCTCAGCCTCGTGTTCCCATGGCCACCGGGACCAGGTCAGACGGAGAGGACCCGAGAGAACTGGCCTAAGAGAAGCCCTGGAGCTGCCAGAGGGGCGTGCACTGGGCAGCTGGGCCTTCCCAAGAGGGTGCTGGAGAGGTGAGGCTGAGCCCCGCTGAGCTGTGAAGAGGCAGGGCAGGCCCAAGTCAGTGAGCCAGTTCCACCCTGCATCCTCCCTACTGGTGCTAGGGAGGCCACATTAGGAACAGGTGAGGTGCGTGGCCTTTACACTGGGGACGATTCTGGAAGACTCTGGTTGACACACTGCCTGTGGGTCAGGCTGAGGGGCGTGGTCAAGAGAAAAGAGCAAAAACTGGTTCCACAAGGGAAGAGATGCCTCAAGGCCTTGAAGGGGAAGGACTGGGCTGGCCAGGCCTGGGCTGCACCGCTTCACACGGTCTGTCACCACTGGAGGGACACCRCCAGGGCTGCCAGGAAGGGTTGCCATTCCCATTTTCAGAGGAGGAAACAGAGACTTGCTCCTTGCCAGTGTCACACCATCGATGGCAGAGCTGGAGCTCAGGCCTGTGGCTTCTTTAGAGTCTGCAACCCATGATGTCCCTCTGGCCAGGGACCTGCCACCACTGAACAGCCCCAGTATGCTTGTTCTCTGTAGTGTGGAGGCTGGCCCCAGGGTCCCCTGCCTGCTCCATGATCCCAAAGTCCATTTCTGCAGCAGAGCTGAGGCCAGTGCAGTGCCAGGGACAGGCCGGGTCTCCTGGGGAAGCAGAGGAAAGGCAGCTGCCCGCCCCTGTGAAGCCCCCCATCGCTCTCCTGCAGGGAGCAGGTTAAACCGTCACAAAGGCTCTGGAACAAAGGGAATTCTCCCAGGAATGCCTCGGACGCTGTTTGGCTGTTTGGTCTCTCGCAGTAGAGTTCTGTTTTTAATGCAGTAAAGTCACACAGGGTGGCGTCACATGGTGCAGTGTCTGTCCCACATGACTCTCTCCCTGGGAGGTGGCTGCCTCCTGTCCTGCCCAGGATGCTAAGGACCAAGCTAGCCAGGCTGGTAAGGGCAGGGATGGGGTGGAGCCAGGGGTTCTGACTACAGCTGTGCCCATCGTCCCCAGGGGAGCACAGGCACTGCCTGCCAGGCGCTCACAGCCACACCGTTGCCAGGCGGCAGGGCCCCAGCCGTGCCAGGGGCTCCCCTGTGGTGCTCTCCTCACTCCCTGAGAGAGTGGAAGCCCAGGGCCTCTGTGTGTGGGTGGTGCTGTGGTCACCAGGGGAGGGGCCTCACCCTCTGGCTAGTTTGCTCTACTTGGCTTTGTTTGGTTAAGGATGTTCTATAAGCACCAGGCCGCAGGGGGCCTCTTTCTGCTCCCTGGGACAGACTCTCCCTCTGGAAGCGCAGGCCTGGCAGGCTGGGTGCTGCTTTGGTCCAGAGCTGTGGGTGTGGTCAGGGAGTCCTGCACACCTGCCTCACTGYCAGGCCTTTCAGAGTCTCTTCCTCCCTCAGCACCCAGCCGTGCCCTGGTGTCTGATGACCACGGGGCCCTGCACACTCCTGCAGCCATGGTGTCCCTCCGGCCACCCTCGGGGAGGTGGTGAGAGCACTGCTCTCTGGTGAGCCACAGGTGCAGGAGGCTTGAGCTGCCAGGCCTGGGCTGCACCGCTGCACACGGTCTCCGTCTCCACTGGAGGGACAGTGCCAGGGCTGCCGGCAGGCTGGCCGTTCCCCTTCTCAGAGGAGGAAACAGGCCACATCCAACCCGAAGGCCCTGGGCACGCCCTATTGGCCTTGTCTCCGTCCCTTGCTTTGGTGTCATTTAGCTCTGTGTGAGCCCTCCTGAGGRCAAATGGAAGGACACCACTGGAGGCCGGGTCCCCTTGGCTGATGGTGAGGTGAGAGTGTGGGACTGAGGGAAGAGCCAGAGGTCAGGACTGGGAAACGTCCGACGGCCAGGCAGAGCTGTGCCGTGGCCAGTCACTGGTGAGCGTCTTCTCCAGGTGTCCAACAGGTGGCAGGYGGCTGGCCCTGGGCCCAGGGTCTTAGGGCTGACCCCTCCCACAGCTCTAGGGGGAGACCCTCGTTCCCTGAGGCAGGTGAGAGCCGGGAAGCCCACTGCCAGCCCCATCCCTTGACAGCAGCCTGGGGCTCCACTGGGGCCCTGGACTGGACCAGCCAGAGAGCAAGGTCCCCTGGGCCACCACTGGTTGCTGTGACTTCCGGGCCTGGCCCCGGCCTCTGACTATCCTGAGCTGGCCATCCACCAGGCTGCAGCGCAGGTTCCCAAGACACCCCTGCTGATGGGGCACCTCCATGGGTGGCTGTGGGAGGGGACAGGAGCAGGGACTCTGGCTACCCTGAGTCACAAGGGAAGGCACAGGTGCTCTCCGCATGCTGCCCCCTTCTCGTTCCCTCCTGTGGGAGGCCACCTGCCCACTCTGCTCAGTTTTCCTAGAAACTCACAAATGTCACTTGCTGCTTTATCTGTGTCATCTCCCTTGTCCACTGTTATCCATTTTGTGAGRACAGCGACTTTGTGACCTTTACTCCACTGGCTCCAGCCCTAAGGCCCCTAGTGGGCCCTCTCACAAGTGCTTAGGGACTCAGTGGACGAGTGAGTGGGGGGAGGACTCGTCCTGTGACCTGGGCCAGGGGCTCGCKCTGAGCCTTGGTCTTCCCCTCTGTGAAGATAGGACCTGCTTGTTGAGATTAGCCAGTGGCCCCAGGCGGTCCCCTCCCTACCTCTGCCCTCCCGCCCSAGTGGAGCCTGGTCCAGGACACGTCCCTAGAGGAACACTACCCACAGGCACATGCTCAAACCTGGGGTGGGGGGGACGGACAGCAGGCTTGATGYCCCTGTGGCTGCTGGGACCCAGGGGCTGGGTGGTGGCTGTGGTTCTTGCCTCCTCTCAGCCGCAGACAGAGGCCGTGACCAGGCCCCCTACTCCCCCTCAGGAGTCTTTGGTGATGCTTCCTTCTGGGGACCTCCTGAAACCTGGGAGAACTCTGGTCACTGCCACTCCTGGTGGGCTCAGCACAAGCACACTCTGTTCCCACTCAAAGGTGACACCAGCCCAGAGCAGACCAGTGCTGGACATTTCCTCGAGACTGGGTGGCCTCATGAGGACAGACCGCCTGGCAGCCAGCCTTGAGCAGTGTTGACCCCAGTGCCTGGACCCCATAACTGCCTTTGGAGACCCCACAGGTGTCGGAGGACCCTGGACTGTGGCCGTTGCCAGACGCAGCCCTCTTGCCTTGTTCTYGGGCCACCAAGGGGCCGGGGTAGGGCAGAGGCGGGCCTTCAGCGCCGTGGCTGGTTTCCACGTGCACCAGGATSAAGGTCCTGCACTGTGGCCTCGCAGAGCCATCCCAGGGCCCACTTCTGAGCTCAGGCACCTCYGTGGCCCCAGCCTCTACCTCCAGCACCTGCTTTGCCGCTGGTCCTCCCCAGCCCCAGGACGACCACGGACAGGTGGTGAGTCACAGAGCAGGGCTCCAGAGCGTGGCTACAGGAAGGTCTTCACCCCAGGCCCCAGGGTTTGGGGRTCAGTAATATTAAAATTCTCTCTCTTAAAAAAAAAAAGAAGTTAGATGTGTCCTCGTTTTGTTCTGTGTGTGGGGGTGCCRGGAATTGGACCCCTAGGCAAGCACTCCCCTAGAGCTACGTCCCCAGCCCTTGTCGTTCATTCTGAATACGTGGATTCTGTAATTAAATTCATACTATCCCTGTGTTAATTTTATTTTTTTATGTAAAAAGGATATTTAATAWGAATAGAAAAACAAAGTAAATTTTTTTGCCTTTCTATTTATTTACCTTTTTGTTTAATGCAGCAGAGTGCATTTCTAWTGCACACAAATGGAGCGCACCATTTCAATTCTCTGTACACAGTGTAGAGACGCACTATTCATGCAATCATACCTGTACTTARGGTAATGATGTCCATTTCATTCCACCATCTTTACTGTCCTCAGAACCCCTCTCCATCCCCCCCGTGTTAATTTTTTTTTTTTTGGTACCAGGGATTGGACTCAGGGGCACTCAACCACTGACCTACATCCCCAGCCCTGTTTTGTATTTTATTTAGAGACAGGTCTCACTGAGTTGCTTAGGGCCTTCCTTGCTTTTGCTGAGGCTGGCTTTGAACTAGCGATCCTCCTGTCTCAGCCTTCCAAGGCACTGGGATTATAGGCATGTGCCACCATGTTCCCAGTTCCCTGTGTTAAATTTTTTTTTTTTTTTTTTTTTTTTGGTTTAGAGTAGGGATAGGAATTATTTCATCTATTTAATTGACAAATGTTATAGATATATGTGTTTGTGTACCTTAATATTTTGATACATGTATACATATAGGAATACTAAGTCAAGCTAACTAATGTTTATTAGCTTACACACCTATCATTTTTGTATGTCAGGTCCTGTRTTAATTTTAATACAAAAATAGCATCACTTTTTTTTTTCAAAACGATATTTCAAATTACTCATTATCAAAGTAAATCAGTGCATCAGAAAAAAACATCATGTTAATCATACAGGTTTGAAGACCCATGTGGTCTGGCCGAGGGGCCCAGGTGATCCTAATTAGAGACTGTTTTGTATGGCCAGGTCCCCTGGGTGCTCACAGTGCCTTAACTCGGGCCTCAGGTGGGGGGTGTGAGCTTAGCAGGGGGTGTGGGTCTGGGCAGGTGGGGGGACCAGRCAGTGGAGTGTGGGAAGGGGTTGCCATCACCAGTCTTGACCAGTCCTGGCCAAGAGCTCAGGCCCCTTGGACTGAGCCCAGAGAGTGACATGTACACCAGCAGTTCTGTGACCTTGGGGACAGGGGCGGCTGGAGTCCACTGGCAGAGAAAGATAACTGGCCAAGCAGCAGGCCYCACACCTCACTCAAGCCAGCTGGGCCACCCTTCAGGCCTAGGACTGGCCTGGACACTGGGCAGCTGTGCCTTTGCTGACACTCCCTGACAGAGCTACTCACCTACAGGCCACAGCTCGATGACACCTCCCTCCCCAGGACATCCCTGCTCCCAGGCCTTCCTTGAATCCCAAAGGCCCAGGGCATCCGGGACAGTTCCCGGACTCAGTCCACAGTGTGACCCTGAGGCTCCTGCACCCTGTAGGTCCCAGCACCCTGCACAGGGCAGCATGTGGGCATTGGGTGGGACTGGAAGGGCCACTACTGTTCTGTGGAAGGGACCACTCTACTGCAGAGTCCGGGAGCTCAAGATGGTGGGTGGCCCTGGGCATGGGCATGGGTGCACTTGGGCTTCCATGGGCCTCTTCTGCAAAAAAAAAAAAAATACTTAAAATTGTATTTTCTGACTGTGTTGGTATCATTCATATATATATTGGTCCTGGGGATTGAATCCAGGGGTGTTCTGCCCCTGAGCTACTTCCTCAGCCCTTTTAATTTTTACTCTCTCCAAGTTACCCAGGCCTCGAACTTGCAATCCTCTGCCTCAGCCTCCACAGTTGCTGGGATTGAGGGTGTGTGCCACTGCATCCAACTAAAATTCTTCTTTGAACTAAAAGTTTTGGGGTTTTTTCTGACTCAAAGAAAGTGAAACATTCTCATAGGCCCCTAAAAGCATAGAGACCCAAGGCTCTGTGCCCCCTGCACCCAGTCAGGAAGACAGCTCTGTCATACGGACCTGCAGGGCCTAAGTCCTCAGTGGGGTGGCCTGGGGGAGGCCTCAGTCCCAGCCTTCTTGAACCTGAGACCACTGGGGTCTGGGAAAGTTTTAAGATCAGGCCAAAAGAGACTGAAGAGGGAGGCAAGGGAGGTGCCCACAGGGGCCCTTTGTGACCTCCCGGGGTTTGCAGGCTGTCTCCACAGGTGCCCACCACTCTGTTCTGCAGCGCAAAGCACAAGACGGGGCTGCAGTTGGAGGGCGCAGAGAAAGGAGGACTGGGTGAAGGAAGCCACTGGAGGCCCAGCAGAATGGGCACTGAGGCCAGGCCAGGGGAGCCTCCAGCTGACAGGGTCCGGGAAGCTTCCCAGAGCAGGCGGGCACTGCACCAGGGCTGGGCACTGCTGGAGGCTGGTCTTGTCCTGACCAGGCTGCTAAGTTGGCAGGCGGAACACAGGAATTTCTCTCATTAAAATGACAGAAGAGAGGGCTGGRCTATAGCTCAGTTGGTAGAGTGCTTGCCTCCCATGCACAAGGCCCTGGATTCGATCCCCAGCACCACAAAAAGAAAAAGAAAAAAAATTTAGGGCTGGGGGTATGGATCAGTGGCTGAATGCCCCTGAGTTTAATCCCTGGTACTCCCATGCCCCATAAAAAGAGGCAACTGACTTAGGGACACTGACAAGCTATATCCCAAGTGTTCAGGGTAGCAGCTGAGTCACCAGTGGGCAGCCAGGCCTACACCCTCCAGGAAGGACATGAGAGATGCCCAACAAGTCCTCCCACACCTTACCTACCTGAAGTCAAGTGTCTGTCCTCGMACTCTTAGGAGCCAGTTGACCTTGGCAACTTGGAACTTTGATAAATAAGGTAAATGTTAAAAAGACAGAAGGAGCCAGCCATTGCTGTATGAGCCTCAATTCTACTCCTAAGAAATGAAAACACGTATCCATACATAAACTATACAAGAAAGTTCACAGCAGCGTTACCCATAATAGCCAAAAGGAGGAAACAATCCACACATTCATCAACAGATCAAGGGGTAAACACATTGCAGTATGTCCATACAATGGAATATTATTCAGCTGTGCAAAGGAATGAACGTTTTCACGCCTTACAGTGTGAACAAACCTTAGAAACCTCATTCTCACTGSCCGGTATCGTGGCACACAACTGTAATCTCAGCGATTCAAGAGGCTGAGGCAGGAGGATCACAAGTCCTAGGCCAGCCTCAGCAATTTAGCAAGACTGTCTCAAAAATAAAAAGGGGTGGTAGAAAAACCCCCAGGTTCAATCCCCTGTACCCACAAAACAAAACAAAAGCATCATGCTCAGTGACAGAAGCCAGACACAGAAGGCCACGTGTTCTATGATTCCCTTGAAAGGAAACGTCCAGAAGAGGTAAATCCTAGGGATGGAAAACACTGCAGTGTTTGCCTGGGGCGGGGGCAGGATGGAACCAGCGAGGACCTCGCGTTCTCTGTTTGCCACGTCGGCAGAATCTGGCCGCCTTCTGCTCCTACAGAACATTCCCACAAGGCTGGCCACCCTCTGGGGCTGCTTGGCCACGGGGTTCAAGGTCACCCCACTGGATGGTACAGCTCCAGACTGTTTCCAACAGAGTCTGGACATCATCTGAAGAGTGTGAGGATTTTTTAACTTGGTGGATTTTTTGAGTCTATAAATTAAAACCATATTGACTATAATCCCATTTAAGATCATGTAAATAAGCACCTTAAAAATGTCCTAAATAAAAAACCGACTTCCCTCTGGACCCCACAATTCTTCTTTGGGGTACACATCTCAAAGATTTGAAAGCAAAGACTCCAGCAGATGCTCCCAGTGAGACTTGCCGGGGATTGCTCACCATGGCGGAAGGTGGGTGCCACGGGGGATGGACAAGCCAGATGTCCAGACAGCAGAATGTCATTCAGAGAAAGAGGGTGGGCACCCTGCCGGGGCCACARCCTGGATGAGCCTGAGAACCTGCCAAGAGAAACGCACCAGTCACGAAAGGGCAGATAGCACCTGGCTCACCACGTGTGAAGACCAAGGGCCAAGTTCATAGACCGAAAGTGCTGGAGGAGAGGAGGACATGGATCTCCAGACGGGCAGAGGTGACCAGTGGAACACACTCAATGCCTCCAGGCTGTGCTCTCCCCGCCCCCAGGCCATACCCTCAAAAGTGGCCAACGTGGTACTCGTGCTGTGTMTATTTCACCACAGTCTTTTTGTTTATATATGTGTTTATTCAACACTGGAGGTTGATCCCAGAGTCCCTTTTTCACTGAGCCACATCCCCAGCCCTATTTTGTATTTTATTTAGAGACAGGATCTCGCCGAGGTGCTTAGCGCCTGGGTTTTGCTGAGGTTGGCTTTGAACTTGCCATCCTCTGGGCTCAGCCTTTTCCTCCTACCTCAGCCTCCCCAGTTGCCAGGATTCCAGGCGTGCGCCAAGCTTGGCCACCACAGTTAAAAACTGTCCTCCTGCTCAGTGTGTTAGGGTTGGTGTTGACCAGGGCACTAGAGGTCCATCAGAAAAGACGGGGAAGACTTAGTGCCCAGCTGAGGTGCCCGGAATGGCCCTGTACTGTCAGGCACTATGTCGGCCAACGGCTCACAGGGTGGCTGGACACAGGAGGGGACAGGGAGAAGCGGGGCCATGGTGGCCAAGGCCACCTGGCCCTGGAGACCCAAGCCCTCCTGGGCTCCTGAACTCCTGCCTGCCGTGAGCAGGGAAGCCTCCTCCTGCTGCCAACCTGGATTTGGATTGGTTCCCATGCCCCCTCTATATTCCTTTGTAAATTTGCTTAGCGTCGGAGGCCAGCTGCACACAGCTGTTTCTACCTGGCTCAGCGTCTGCACATATTTAAGAAACACCATAATAAAAATGACGGAGGACCACCCCAGGCTCCATGAGAAGGAAGCTCAGGCATCACTGGGTGGTGAGTCATGCTGTGGTTTGGCTTCTGGTATCTTCCTTTGAAGCGAGGTCATCTGTGTCCCCAGGGGTTGCATCCAGGGCCAGTCTCAGCACTGTTTCCTGAGTGAAGCCAGTGAGGGAGGGGGTGAGTGGAGGAGCAGGGGAGGAGGAGCTC